GGAGATATGGACTTTTTTATGAAAAAAACGAATATTTCTGCCTAAAGCTTTTTTTGCTATAATATTCAGCCAAATGATTCGAGCAATTTAAAAGTAATTTGAAATTTTTGCTTAAAAATATGAAGAAAAAAATTCGTTTAAAACTAAACAATTTAGACGTACTTAAAATGGTTCTTTTATACTGCTCAAGAGAGGAATTGATATATTATTAACAATATTATTTTTTTTCATAATTTTGTAGTGAATCGTATTTGGCAACTAATAAAAAAAGTCGTATTTAAATATATCAAAAGCTAGAAAAGTTTCAAGCAATTTTTTAAATAGTTTTTGCACTTTCTAAAGGAAATCTCAAAGCGATAAATGAGTTTTTATAAATAATTTTGTATCATAAGACAGAATTTAATGACAAATGACAGTACCTTACAATAATCGCTCATTCACAAAAATATGATTTAAAAAGGAAATAAAACAGGCAAAAGATAGAGGTAATGGTCCTCGACAATGCTGGTGTCATTTTTAATAAATCTTGTTTAATAGTACGAAACAAAATATATCGAAAACTCCATATCAGTTGAGCTTTCTTTTAAAAAGCACAAAAACTACTTAGAAAATTGGTTGAAACTTTTTGAATTTTTAAGATATTCAAATCGGACTTTTTTTTATAATCTGCCAATTAAGATTCAATATAAAATTAAAAAGAAAAAATATAGTTTTACAGCTCATCCGCTGTGCAAAAGAACTACTTTAATTACTCATATCAATCACTGTAAATATTTCTGTAAAAATTACGGTATATCAGATTTTTTGTTCCTTTAAATTTAAAAAAAAAAAAAAAAAAAAAAAAAAAAAAAAAANAAAAAAAAAAAAAAAAAAAAAAAAAAAAAACTTATTTATTTATTGGAACTTATATATTTTTACTATTTCAATTTATTTTTCAAAATTAAATTAAAACCATCAGGCGCCAAACTGATGAGTACGTTTGCAGGGATTTGTGGTTAATTATTATAGACCAAGATGTGCTTTGAATATTACAAATGTTTTCATATCAATGTCATCATATGACAAATTTTACTTATTAAAAAAAAATCATCTTGTAAGAAATTGTTCTAAAAATTTATTTAGCTTTGAAACAAAATAGTAATGTAAACATTAAAATAAAATCAGTATATCTATAATTTTTCCATTTGAAAACAAGAAATACAAAATAAATGTATTTTGGATCAATATATGTTCGTAAAAAAATTCTAGTACAATTACCGCCCTGTACAGTAATGACATTTCTGATAATAAAAAACTGGTTAATGAAAAGGAAAATATACGGTATTTAGACCATTCATTTGGTAATTTTTTTCATATAGCAACGTTTTAACAGAAATTTTGGTTTTCAAAACTCTAGTTCTTATTACTACACATTGAGTAAAAATTACAAAATTGAAGCATACATTTAAATGAATACATAAGTTTAATGCAGGACTCTAAAGTATCATGATAAAACTATCAAATTTTACCCCATTTACCGAATTTTATCATTAGATTATAACCATATTTTATTGTTAATTTCCAAAAATCAATACTGATGAATTTTAGTGAAAATTACTGATCTCTTTGGTGTTACCAAAGAACCAGAAATAGAGTAAATTTTGCCATATTATTGTAGTTTTAACCATACTTTTTTTTCTTAGTGTGCATTTATTCACACTGAGAAAAAAGTATGTAAAGTAACATGTTTTCATTTATATAAATAAATGTTTAGCAAAAGATATGTGCGTGTTTCTTACTGTAAGCAACCGTTTAAAAAATATTAATTTTTTTTAATTATATGGAGGTATTATTAATATTTGTTTATTTAAGGTCATATGCGATACAATTGTTTCTATATGTTTATGCGATACTATTGATATTATTAAATGCGATACCATTTAATAATGTCATACATAACTAAAAAGCAATGCTATTAAGAAAACAAATGGAGCGGGATAATTTTTTTAACTATAAGTCGTAAATATTTTATCGGAAAATCAATAACTGCCTTCTTTCAAATAAATAGAAAAGTATTTTCCGATTATCGTAAAACTATTCTAGGTCATCATAAATAAAAAAAGAGCAAAAAAAATCTCCCAGCTTATTTTATTTCTTCCAATAAATCATAATTGCTTTGAAACCTTGTATGATTTTGCTGTAAAGTAGGTATTAAATTTAATTTCAGATAAAATGAAATTCAGTGAAAAATATATATTATAGATAAATTTTATTATTTTTGCACTAATTTTACGAAAAAAAGAAAAAAGAAATAAAATAAGAAAAGGCGACAAAAATTCAGAAAAAGTAAGAGTATCACTTATATATTATTAAACTTACTAAATAAATTTCTTCATAACATGTAATGTTCTTTTATTATCTTTTAAAAGGAATGCGAATTACATTTTTTGCGAAGTTGCCAGAAAATCGCACAATATTTAAATATTATTTCAAAAACAAAATTATGCTTTCACCAGATTTAATTGTTATCTGAATTGAATTCATTTGAATTATTTTATGCTTTATTTGAAGCTAAATAACAATTCCCCTTTTTGTTAAGTTAAAATAACATTATATTTCATAAAAATAATAACTAATAATACTATTAACAACTACAGCAAGTTAAAAAAAACCTAATAATTTATAAATATTTCCTGGGTCTACGGGAAACAAGGCCAAAACACCGAACATAAAAAACAGATGTTTGTAATTATTTTGTACCTTATTAATTTTACATTTTTTATAAATAATAATTGGACTAAATAATTTTCTACAAATTGTAAAAAAGTTTATGAAAGTTTTTCATGAAATCAAGTCCACTCGAAATCTTAATCTCGCAAAGAAGCCTGAGCTTGCGTGAAGCTTAAGCTAAACCTATCTCATATCTATCCTATCATATACGAATTTTAACCAATAGAATGATAATTATGAGAGAGTTATGAAGTTTATATTTTACCCAAATATGCGCACTTGATTCAAGCTATTTTCTAAGGCAGCGCCTGTTTTCGATATATTACTGAAGGTAATTAAATAGAGTATGAAGTTTTATTAACAATATTATAATATGGTAGTTATAAATAATTCATTTTGATTTCTTTAATATATTGTACACATGAGATTTAGGTATCTTATCTTTTAACAAAATGGAAACATCCATTTGCATAATTCTATATATTTCCTTATTGCGTGAATTGGTATGTTTCTTGCTTAAATTTATTCTTTGTAAAAAATTTTAAAAAAAGCATTTAAATTTGAAGTGGTTAAAAAAAATAATTCATCATTTAAGTATTTGAGACAACTTTTAAAATTGCACAAATGCTGCTCCATATCACCATTTTTCAATATTTTATCACGTTATGTTTGTTTTCATGAATGTTATTTACTTAAAACGTTCGTTAAAAAAAGGCCTTGATATATCGAAGAATGATCAAGAAGTATTTGAAACAATGATATGTATAGATATATAGAATATTCATTTAAAAATTCATATATGCATGACAATTTAATCCTTCGTCGTCACAAATACTTGAAATACTTTTCAAAGTCATTTAATTTAAATCCTCCTATTTTTTTAAAGATGAACAGCGCAAATTAGACTACCGGCTTGATATTGTATTAGTTATAACCACGTGATGAATTCATCCAAAGTCGATGCGTCTGGCAGTCATTATCTTCAAATTAATTATATTTTTAAGTCATAAATCCAACTAGAATCATGATTCGAAAAAAAAATTGAAGCACGAAATTAAAATTGCAAGTTCGAACAATTAAAATTGCTCGATAACCACTTTAGAAGGTTAAGATACTTTCAATCCGGTATATAATTATAAAAGACACTTTTTTGTTCTGCTTTTAAGCATCAAAGGGATAAAATGCTTTGCTTTAATTTTCTTTTAGTTAGCTTTCGTTTTCGAGTTTTCTTATAGTATCTTTAACTATAATCTCTCTCTCTCTCTCTCTCTCTCTCTCTCTCTCTCNTATATATATATATACATACATAAACTTGTTAAAGACAAAAAGGATTAGCGAAGAAAAAAATATTTTTAATAAGTTTTATCTATTGCGCATAAACTGTAAATACATAGAACTCATTAAATAAGTTGAAAATATAGGGAAAACAAGGAAAAGGATATATAGTTTTCCCAAAGGAAAACAAAAATAATTCTTGAAAAATGTTTCCATAAAATATTTACATATTTAAGCATTTTAGCAGCAAAAAAAAGGCGAGTAGCTTTATATATTACATTTCAAGTTTTGTTCCATTTTTTCTTAAATTTTTGTTATCGATTTTTGTTCCGCATTTTTTACTTTTAATTTCCCCTTTTTTCTTAGTGGGTTTTATTTTTGTTTAAATTTTTCGGTCGTTTGGTGCTTTTGGTGCTTGGTGTTGATATGTTTTTCTTTCGCCATATTATACAACATTAGAAAGCACTATTTTCTTCGGATATAATCACGTGAGAGCTGATGACGAAATTATATCTTATCTTATTTTACTTCATTTTCCATTGTTTTAGTAAAAACAAAAAAAAAAATTTGAGAATATTTCTAAAAAAATATTTTCTTATAAATTTTATCTTCGCCTTTGGGAAATCTTCAAACTTTCTTCAGGTAAGTATCACTTGTTTTTTCAATAAATTGTAATAATTTTCTTTTAATTACAAACAGCTATAAATGTTGTTTACAAATATGTAAAGTTTCATACTTTAATATGAAAATGGATTTTGAATTATTTTGCATCAACTAAGTTGAATGAATTTCCTCTTGGTTTTTTAAATTAAAATAAAAGTAGATCAAGTAAGAATTTTTTCTCATAAATTTTATTACTACAGTACATTCCTTGCAATTGACTGTAAGTACTCGAATTCGCAAACAGTTAAATGAAATTGCAAAAAGTCATTAAAAGTCGTATTTAATGTATGACTAATGCTTGGTACCTGCATAATTAGCCAAAAAATGCACATTTGACTTAATTGATGCGAACTGTTTTCAGGAGCACAAGCGTAAAGGAGAAATCCGCGGTGAATACGAAAGCATAAATTCTGAAAATAGCTTTTTACTTCATGAAAACGCGCCCATGAAACAACTACCTGTCGCAGTCGCGCGCAATTCGTAAGATGGCGCTGTCATAGTTTGATCCTCCAACCAATGCACTGGAATCCACTACAAGCTCAAACCTACTCTCTGGTTTTTCGTTCACACTTAAATCTGATGTATAGCGCCAGTGCTTGCTCTAACTTTTTTTTGGAATACTCTGCCTAGAAAATATATTAAATTAAAGGCAAGATGAAAGAGAAGAAAAAATAAATGATTAAATTGACTTTGCTTTCTTTTCTTTTTTTAACTTTGCGCATAGGTTGATGGGAAAGAACTTATTGAAAGAGTGCTAGGTATGTTTTTATTTATTTTTAAGATTAAATTATTATCCTGAAATTTGGAATAATATTTTGATAAATTTTCATGCAATTAAAATATTTTTTAAAGAACTTTTTTGACAGACCAAATAATTGACATTATTTTTAAAGCTAAAAATGTAGGATTGGAGAATAAATATGCAATAAAAAAAGGAGAAAAAAAATCTCGTAACTATAGACTCTGCTAAGTGCTTTTCTTTTTGCTCAAATTCAATAAATTAATCTATTACTTAAAGATTAAGTAAGACAATATTGTGAAACATATTTGTAGAGCTAACAAGAGAAAATTATTCAAAAAATGTATTTTGCGCTGCAACAGTATTTAATCAATATTTCAACACTCCTGAGGCATTTGAAGAGAAATATTTTAAAATATATTTTTTATATAATTTTGAGAAAGATTTGAAAGCTCCATTTTGTAAAAATTGCACTTCGAGATAGCGGCACAAGTTCAAGAAAGAAAGTATTAACAAGCAATAAATACATAATTATATTACTTCAACATGGTCCAAATATAACTATAAATACATATAGAATCCATTTTTATTGCATATTTATGTTTTTTTTTAAATTTGTATTTGTGTTAAAAAGAAAAGTATTTACATTAAATAAGAAAATAAGTATGCTACTTTGACGTCGACTAAATATAATTATAGATGCTTTGAACATCAATTTTTATTGCATATTCATGCCTTTTAAATTTTGCATTTGAGTTAAGATAAATGTATGCAGATCATTAAATATTTAAAATAATCAACAGGTCCATTATTGTTCAGTTTTTATAAGTATGAGTCTTTTACTGAATACCTATCTATCCGTAATTGCAACCAATATTTTTAAATAAGTTTGCTTTATGATTAATTAAAATAAAAATATAAAGATGCTATGGATAAGTAGAGTTTTATTAAAATAAAAAGAGGAATAATTTGTTAAAAAATTTAATTTTGTTTAAAATCTTTGCTTTAGGAAAACCTGAAACATAGAAAGGAAGCTTATAAGAAAATACCCAATTACCGAATAATAATTTAATAAATACCGAAGAATAATTTGATAATTTAAAAATACAGAAGGATAATTTAAATAACTTTCTAAAAACAACAAGTCAAAAAATATTGAAGCATTCTTTTCAACAATTAAATAACAAAATTCTTTTCAACAATAATCAAAAATTACTCATCAAATTACGGTAAAAGTACACTCTGGGGGGAAATAGATAAAAATGTATTTTAAGGTACTTTTTACGGGTAATATAAATGCATTTTGCATATAACCTAATTAGTTTTGATTACGTAGACAATAATTATTTTTTACTATAATTATTCTAATTTAATCCGAAAAAAATAATCCTTATTTCTTAAGTACATTAAAAAAAAGTATTAAAACTTATTACTGATTTTTTAATCAAAATTTATTTTCAAATTTAATGTTTAATTTTTTTTTCCTGCGAGTTCAGCATAAAAAGTTAACCTAAAAATCATACTATAAACTTGAAAATAAAAGCTTTAAAAATCATTTTGTTAAACGTGTATTTTTTTTATTTGCTTAAAATTTGGATAGTTTTACTTATAAAATAGGAAAACAGTACATTATTATTTACTAAAAAAATGCACTCTTATATTTTTATAAAATATAAATGCCTGAAACATTTAACATTAAAACACGTCGAAGAAATTATAAATTACAATTAAATTTATGAAATTCTTACACATATTTTACACATATTCATTTTGTGTACAGTACATGCTTCAATACATTTAAAACTAAAGGTGAGAATCTTTTTCAGGCGTCATAAAAAAATGAAGTAATTTTTTTTTTTTTCTGAATATTTATGAATTTGTTTTCACGATAAGCAATATTTTTAACTTAAAAGTTATTTAAACTGATTTAATATATAAACTACTTTAATTTTCATTACGATTTTCCTTTTTTTAAAATTAAAATTATTAAAAATTAAAAAAAAACGAGTTTTCAGGAAAACCTGTTAAATTTTTAGAGATTTTGAAAAAAAAAAGATTAATTTTTAGTACATTTTTCGGAGTCTAAATACTAATTTGGGTAAAAAAATATACAGTGATGCAGGGAAGATTAAGTTGACACTCATACATATATTGAATCAGCTTTCCCTAACATTAAATAGCATCATTAAAATCAAATCCCTAACATTAAATATAATACAATATTCTTTTCATGTATGGTATATTTTCGATTGGGTTTATAAATTTCGTTTAAGTGAGTTGTAAATCTTGACTTTTAAAGTAGTCTGTGTTTAATATGCCATGATTCTGCAACAAAATAAACTCTATGAAAAATAGTAACTGCTTGTTTTTAAAATACTGATAATTAGCATTATTATTGAAATCTGTAATGATTATTGTAAAAAGAAAACGATGCATTAAATAATTTATTAAGCTCACAATTTCAATTTCATTTTTGCTCAAATTTTCTCCAAAAAATCTGAGGTATTAATAATGCTTTGATCCCGTACACTGCGTAAAAAAATCCGGGTTAAATTAAGGTAAAAAGAACCGACACTGGTGCCGGCACTTTTCACCGTAAAATCCATTTTTACAGGAACATATTACGGAGCAAAAAGAACTTAGATACCGTAATTTTCACAGTAATAATTACCATAAAATCACTGAATAAATAAATTTTATATAAGAATTACGATATAGCTTTTTATGGTAAAAATGGATTTTACGGATGATGCAAGCCACTACTTTACAAAACGATACTTAACACCGCAGTTTGATCCGTAATGTTCCCAGCGTAGTTTTCTGGTAAAAAATTAAATTACTTAAATTTATCACCCAATCAGTATATAAAGTTGAAAAATAAAAATAATTGAATTTCATGTTTTATAATTAACGGAGTGCAATTACTAGAATCAGAAATAGTTTCGCAATTGTATGATTGTTAAAATTGACATTATCACTGTACGATAAGTGTATTAGAAGTTTCTGTCATGTTTCATCGCAAAATTAATTAATCCGTGGAAACTTTAATCTGATTAGAGCAATTTTATTTAATTAGAAAATGTAATAAGCTTTCTTCGCCGAATTTAAACAAACGATAAGTGAAAAAGGCGTTTTAATTAAAAAGAGAAAGACAAATAAAAAGACCTTTAAACTAGGAAAGACAGCGGTTTCAGTAATTGAGAAGATTTAGGGAAAAATATTTTAAAAATAGATAAGCTATGCAGAATATTTGTAAACTTTAAGCTTATAAAGCTTTTTTTTGTTGATGTAACAAAATAAAAATGAAGTGTAAATTAACGATAATATGCTCTGAAAAAAAGTTATTCAAATTTTGCTTCTTGAAAAAGGCATGGATCGACTAAAATTGCTATTGACGGTATATCATCGGATATTGTTAATAATACGGTAGAAAATATTTTGCGTTTGAAAATTTTTGTATCGCATATTCTAGCTAAATATTTACGTTGAACACATTTTGCTTATGCAAAAAAAAGCAGTTGTGTCTATTAATTTAATTTTACTGTTCACTGTAAGAATTTTAAGTCTAAAATTATGGTAAAATGGCTGGTAGAAATCTGTCCATCTAATTAATTATAAAGTTAACGGTAAAGAATAATTTTATCTTTACTGTTTTAAAATCCTTTTGCAACTAGCATTGTTTAAAAACCAAGATTACAGAACCATGCGGTTTTCGAACCATTTACAGCTAGCATGGTCTCAAAACCAAACAATTGACATTTAACTGAACAATGGAGAAATATTTGAAGCTTTAGGATGCTGTCATCTGTGCGTAAATGAGTGTATCGTATTCTAATAAGCCAGGGTCACAAATAGGGTAAGTGCTGGGCACTGGAAACTCGTCATGTGTCCAAGAGAATAGAAGAAACGCTGGGTTCAACGCTGGGACTCAAATGCCCTCTGTCTTTCATGAGATTAACAGATTAGCCTTCTTGGCTATAATACATACCGATCTGCAAGAAACTAACTGGTTTCATTAGGTGGATCTAGTTAGTGCGAAACATTATGGCTGTTTAACCGCATTAAATGAAAGCATTTAATAAACAGTTTTTCTCACAGTCAACAGTTTGAATATCGGCTTATTTATGGTTATTTGGCGATTTTTTTATTATGGTAAAAAAAACAATTGAATAAAATGCTATTTAACCATTTTTTTTCTTCGATATTTTTAACTGTGTTGTTAAAAACCACCTATAGAGTATAAATTATTCCTTTTTTATAGATAATTACTTTCTTATCACAAAATCAAACACGTTAATGATACTCAATGCATGTTATACTTAAAAAAAAGGAGCAGTTTATTTTTAAACATTATTTAAATGAATTACAGAAAAGTTTGTTAGTTGCGCAAGTGTATTAATTTATTCACTTTCAGAATACCTGCTCTTAGAACAGGGGGAAAAATATATAATTAATAAATTTCTTTCGAACAACACTACAAATTTACAAAACTGAAAGGCATATATCGACAAAACTATTAAAGTTAATATACGAGTACTTCATTTATTTATTATTATTTGTTGTCCCTTAGGGTTGCTTTACGTATAAAAAAATGAGAACGTATTTAGTTGTTCATCCTTGCGAAATAAAGAGTAGCATATAGTGTCATTTCCTATGATGCTGAGTTTTGGGGTCAACAAATGATAGTCAAAGGTTACCACAATCAAGGAAGTTTTCTCGATACTTGTTTTTTTCCGAGACGCCTTAAAAAACCTATTTTCTAAGTATCTATCTAACCAGTCATTATATAGGTATAGTCTTAATAGGTATTAAGTATACTAATATAATACTTTGTACCCTTATTAGTATATTCTGCACCAATTAAAACTACAGCATATACCATAATATCTGCAGAACCTAATATCAAAATTAATTAATCATCATTTACATAATAGTATGGCATTTTTAAAGTTATGTCTAACGAACCATTTATTTTTCTATTCAGAGCACTGTTTCTTTTAGTTTGAATTAGTATCTATT